TCCAAGAAAGACAAGTATTCCATCCCTCAGTCCAGCTGCAAATACTGTGAATCTTCTCTCTATGCCCTCCATTTCCACAAAATGCCTACTCCAGTCTGACAGTGAAGATGCTTTTGTAAGCACTGTGCTTGGTGATTGTAGTCAATGTAGTTCCACTGATGACTTTTCATCTGAAACTTCTGAAAGTAAGAGGGAACAGAGGATACAGCTGGCTGTATTCCATCCCTCAGTCCAGCTGCAAATACTGTGAATCTTCTCTCTATGCCCTCCATTTCCACAAAATGCCTACTCCAGTCTGACAGTGAAGATGCTTTTGTAAGCACTGTGCTTGGTGATTGTAGTCAATGTAGTTCCACTGATGACTTTTCATCTGAAACTTCTGAAAGTAAGAGGGAACAGAGGATACAGCTGGCTCCTGACACAGTTTCTACACAATTGAAAAATCAGCCTTTTAATCTTGGTCTGAAACAAGAATCTCAAAATGTGCCAAAAAGTTCCTCCACAAAGTTAAGTGTGTTGGGTCACAGACGAACCTTATCAGATGGGAACCATTTTCAGACCACAGGTGGGTAATTAAGAGCTTCCATGAAAGCTGTTGATAAAAATTTAAGCTCAAACTAGCGTCCTTATATCTGGTTTACATTGAAATGCATAAGTTCATGCTTAATGAGTTTTTGAAAAGCAGTTCTAAATTTCAGTGCTGGTGTTCTGTGGTGCCTTAAATGTAATATTCTTCATGGTGCTTTTTGCATGTCTAATTACTCATAACAGCTGCACAAATTTGTGGGGCTTTATTCTAGTATTAATATTTATCCAGTTACTGTGTGGTTAATGCTTTCCCTCTACATCTCTTTTGTAGCAATCAAAAATACATTGTGGTGGCCTGTAGCAGAGAACATAGGTGCAAACACATTACTTGAGCACTGCTGATCTTGTGTTAGGAGATTACCCACAAATGTACAAGCCTCTTAATTTTTCTGGTGGGGAGAAAGGCAACTAGTTTTTATGGCAACCCAGTTTTACAAATGGTAAAGAATTCAAGTAGTCGCATAGTTTAAATTGGTGTGTTTTTTTGTTTGGACTTTCCTTTCCCCTAGCTAATGGAATTGCTTCGACCAATGATGTCTCCACCCTACCAGTTCTGTCAGTTGCTGGAACTCTGCACTCTCCATCTCTTCAACGAAGGAGCAATCACAGTGGTGTTCCACCTGAAAAGCAAAGCACCATCAATATTATATCAAGACCTCGACCTTCTTCTCTAAGAAATAAAATCGATGCATGGCAGATTATTCCACATATTGTTAAACCAAACTCAAAAGACTCTGAATGTTTAGAGGGCAGTGTACATCCAGATGCTAATTTCTTGCCAGATACTGAGGAAAGAACTAACTGCCACATGCCCTCGTTACTTGATATTGATGTGGAAGGTCAAAACAGAGACTGTACTGTGCCCTTATGTAGAATGAAGAGCAAAACTTGTCGGCCATCTATATATGAACTGGAGAGAGAGTTTCTGTCGTGAGTGCCTTTCATTTTAAAAATGTTTGCTTCTTAAAGGGGAACAAATATAAAATTCTTGTCTGTCTAATGCTTTGTGCTGCTGTTTTCTGATGTACTGTGACAAATAGTACCAAAATTATTAAAACGGGCAGCTAATTAAGTGTAGTAGGTGCCTCTTTCAAATGTTCCTTGGAATCCCAGCTAGTAACTCTGAAAGCACAATGCTGCAAAGTAGTCTTCTAGGTGAACTTTATCTTTGGAATTACTAAAATAACATATCCACCTCCCTCTGCAGTGTCACGGGAATTTTCTGTAAGTTTGAGAGGTTTTACTAGAAATTTAACTTTTGTACACTGAAAAAATGAATTATATAAATCAAGATCGTGTTCTGACAAGAGTTTTGGCTAAGAACTGGTTGTCTGCAGCTTGCTGCTGTGGCCTGTAGAATTAGGGAGGGGGACAGGGTCTTTAAAGTGCTGGTACAGGAGGCTCTGTTCTCTCCTCATTAAGGAAGTGGTTACTTTTTGGCATTTGATACTGAAATTGGTTAAGGACCAGCAGCTCAATTTGCAGTCTCTGCCCTTGGTTTTTGTGAGAACTTTCAACTGTGTGCATTAGTTTCTGCAGAAAGTTACACTGCTTGTATAAACATTTCCGTTTCAGTCACCATATCGATTTGAGAGGGTAAACTTCAGTATTGCAATTGGAGTAAAGGTATTTGACATACTTGGTAATGTGAAACAACATTCCTTGTAGGTAAGGATACACTGGAACGTAAATATTTGTACTCTTAACCTTTTGAAGACTACAGTGTTTGCACTGAAAGCAATATTCTTGGGTTTGGATTTTTTGCTTGTGGTGGAGGGGTTTGCCCCCCTTCTTGTTTTTTAAACTCTGCTGCACCTTGTATTGAAGAAAGATGGTGGGTTTTAGGGACAATTGGTTTTAAGTGAGCCAATGGTGCATTTTATTGCACTTAATTTTAAAACTGCTGTAATTTAATATGAAATCTTTCAGTATAATCTCTGTAGATTTTCTTCCTAAGGTACTACTGAGTGCCTGCTTTATTCACACTTAAGAATTAAAGGACAGGAACAGATATGCCTGACTGGTTTTCAGGGATAGAAAGGTTCCAGAAATTTACAAGTAGTTAGTTGTGGGAGGAGGAATATTTAACCTTGATAACACTGGTAATTTAATTTTTTACAGTATCACTAAGTGATTAAATACAATCAAATGTACAGTATGCTTTCCCTGATGAAAGCATTTATAGAATTAAAGGAACAGCCCTCATATTCCAGTGTTTGAAGTCTTAATTTTGCAGATCATTTGACATTTAAACAGTATTCATAAATAAAATTAGACAATGTTAGACTAAAACTACTAAGTTCCCATCAGACTACTGTTTTGTTAAGACCTTTGTTTTATATGTTCTCCCTTGCTCTGGGGTCTGGGAGTTCAGTTGTTAAACAGAACACACAATTGCTTAAAGCTTCAAAACCAAGGGATTAAAAAAGTAAGTTTGTGTTCTAAGACTGTTATTCAGAACAGTGTCTACCTTGAGAATGGTGGACAGTTGTACATATGAAATCATGAAGTCTTAATCACACAGAGCAGAACACAGAAAATGCAACTTCCCAGCTCTCAAAGTGAAAATAGAAAAGGATTTCCTTGAAGTATTAGTTTACCAAAATAAAGGCAAAACCAGCAGTTGTCTGCAAATCTAAATGCTTGCATACAGCAGGTTATTAAGTTACTACATTTTGTTCAAACTTGTTTCTGTTTCAGTATTCTTAGTTTTTTAGTCAACATGATTCAAGTCACATACTGTTCTTTGTCTTTCCTTTAAACTGTAATTTCATCAGAACACTTTAGTAGATTAAGTCTAGTCCAGTTTTAATACAAAATGTTTTCATAAAATAAAGTCCTGAATCAAATTTTAGTATAGCTTGATAGCAAATTTACCTTCAAGGCTTAATTAGAATTTTGGAGGATTATGTATATTTCAACTCTTTCTTAATCAATTATTCCTGTGTAATACTGAGAGAAGAGGAGCTGATTGTATTACATGTTTCTGAAGAAAGTATCTTTGTTTGGCTTTCTACAGGAAAATCTCAGGTGCTGAAGTATTTTGACTTGTAAACTTCTGTTAAGTTCTGTTCTGTATTTTTTAACGTTTATATGCTTTCAAGTGTTGAATTTTGCACCCTATGTTTTGTAATCATAGTATCAGCATAAAAAGCCCTTTGCCCTATATTCTTTTCACTTATTAGTGACTTATCTCTCTTGCAGTTAAACAAAGATTTATATTCCTGTTCAGTGGATAATTTCCCATAAGATTGGGACTTATGATATGGCCAGCCCTGTGCATCCTAAGTAATTTAGGAGCTTGTATTCCATCTCTTATTATGAGACAGTTTAGGTAAGCCATCTCAAATATTTCTCTGATGTGATGCAGTTTTTTTAAGGTATAGTCTGTTGTGCTTTATAATTGTGTTTATAGTTTAAAATTATAGGCCAGTCTTCACTGTAATTAAAAAGAGAAAAAGAAAACAATTATTTCAATCATGGTTTCACAGTCTGTATTTCACTTGTCATCAGAGAAACTTTCTGTAAAGGTGTGGGAATCTGGTATACATTCAGTGAGCTGTCTTGGTAAAAAAGATATTTATTTCAATGTAGGTTAATAGCCTGACCAAATAATAATTTATGTTGATTGTTTTAGCATGAAACTGAAGGTGCTTACACTACAAAGATTAAGATAAACACTTGATATGCTGTTTTACAAAACCTGGTGATTTAATGTTTTTATTTAAAAAAAATAAATGTTTTGTAGCTACTGTATTGCAATGTGAGCCGAATTTTCTTGAAAAATATATCTTAATGCTTTCTTAACACGTACAAAGGAGTTCTCTGGTGAATAACCAGGAGCAATGGAATATGGCCAGCCTGTTCTCAGAACATTATAACATAATTGTTACTCTAAGATTAATTATCCAGTACAGTAACATGAACATTCCTGTAATTTCTTGTGCTTGATGTGGGCAGGAACATATGGCATAAGCTTGTTTTTTTCTTTCATGTGACCATGATATGTCTTTTGATGCTTTTTACAATGTTGGCTGGGTATCTTAGAGGAGGTAGAACAGTGGGTATAAATAAACTCAGCATCAAGAATACAGGTAAGGAATAACATTCTTCTGTTGTGGGGTTTTTGTTGGGAGGGTTTGTTAGTTGTTTGGAGATTTGGTACTTTGGGCCTTTGGTTTGTTTTGTGGGTTTTTTTTTTTAGTCAAAGGAAGCCAGTATTTTCATTGCAATATATTTTAACACCTTTTTTTAATGAACTTACTTCTTCCACCATCATGGCATGGGAGCATTAGTCCATCTTCGAGTTAGGAAGAGGAAGTATCCCTTTGCTGAACTTCTATTCAGCTTGTTATCCACCAGGATTTTCAGGTCTTTCTCTGCAAAGCTGCTTCACAGGTGGTTGATCCCCAGTGTGTACTGGTACCATGGGCTTGTTCCTCCTGAAATGCATTTCTACATCATGAAATTCCCCTAAGCCAAATTTTCCAGCCTGTCCAGGTCTCTCTGAATGGCAGCAGAACTATCTGGTGCATTAATCACTCCTGCTATTTTAGATTGTCTGCAAACCTGCTGAAAATACACCCTGTCCCAGCATCCACGTTGTTAATGGAGATGTTAAACAGTACCAGCCCTGGGGTACTCCACCAGTGACTCGGTGACATTTAGGCAAGCTGTAGTTAATACCGTCTCATATTTTATTCATGTCATGTGAATTCTTTTTCCTAAGTGATTTTGGAAACTGCAATTCTTCGATTACTTTCAAAGGCTTTTTTTCCCCTCGTTTCAAAGATAAAGACATAATGACTAGACTCACATCTAGGTCTTAGTGAATTCCTTCTGTAGTTGAGATCTGGCATCAGGATGTCCCAAGTTCAGTACTGCTTAATGTAACAGCTTGTATCTATTCAAAATATTTACAGTTTGCATTAAAAGCAATGTCATCAATTCACTGTGAGTGACCACACTAGTCAAACTTCATTCGGATGTCAAATTGGGTGTTTGAGTGATCATTAGTATGGAGTCTCATGCTCTGCAGCACTGCTAAATAGATGTTTTAAAAACAGTTGCATTGTACCTGAAAACATCAGTCTTCCCTCCTACCACACCAAAGTATGTAGTTACAAGGTCTAACAACTGGAATCTCTTATGGCTGCTGAAAACGTGCACAAATACTCTGATCTCTGAAGGGGAGGAGGAGAGGGCACAACTGTGAACTCCTCAGCAGAGAGCTGTTAGTGTTTCTCCAAAGACAGCTGCCCTGCACGGCCATGCCTGCTCGAACTGCTGAGTTCTTCCCATGCCAGAGAATTTGTGCATGTGCTACTGTCTCCCTGCTGAGTTCAAATATACCCAGCTAAGATCTTTGATGTAGTCACTATGAGTAGTCTAGTTATCTGAGGGCTTGCAAATCTTTATAAAAGCAGGTGGAAGTCTGCATATTTGGGGCCCAGGAGAAAACAAAGAATAGGGCTGTTTGATCCCTTCACTGTTTTGCAAATAACTTGAATAATTCAAAAGTTTCTAAACTTCCTTTTATGGCAGGCAGGATTGGGCAATAATATTTTACAAAGCCATTTACTCTCTGCTACCTTCCAGACCACAAGTAATGTTTGTGCCTTGTGTTAGATGCCACTTACACTGCCTAAGAAATGTTATCAGTGGTGTGCAAAATATTTTCCCAAGGCTGATGAAGAGAGGTAGTTGTGCTAAGAAGCAGGTGTATCATTGATGTAACATTGGATGTTATCTACCAGTAGTCCAGGTAAGTCAAGGATATATACTAGACGTATATTGTCCAATTGCTAAAGTTATATTGAGTGCATGGTTCCTGAGAGTGATCAGTAATCTCTTACAGGCTATTTCCAGGGGCAGGGTATTCACCCAGAGGGAATTCACTTCTCTTTCAGCAGTGGCCTGCATGTGGTTGTATGC